GAAACTGACATATGCATATGTCTCCTATCGGTTCTGTGTTGCTAGAGAACCTCGATGAATGCAGTGTGAAAGAGATGGAAGGAACAATTAACAACGGTCATCCACTGGTGAGAAAGAGGGAAAGACTTCACTGAACCACCATTTAAAACCCTTTAAAGTGTGGGTGAGCTATTCAAAAGCCCACAATCTATGTGTTCTTAAAAAAAAGTTACTTTCTAAAATCTTACTGAAAAGTTTAACAGAAAAATAAGTCAAGTACTATGTATTAAATTGTATTCTTATTTCAATTATATTCTTACCCCCTTTTTGTAAGAGGAACAACTAAGCAAGGAGAAGCTGGGTAAGCTGCCCAGAAGAAAAGGAAGCTGGCCCCCACTCCCAAGCTACAGCTCGCCGCGCTCCCTCCCAGCCTCACTGGAGACAGTCTTAGGGCATCCTTGGTGCAGAGGAGGGCTCCATGGAAAGGAAGCATAAGGAAAGTGTCCCCGCCTGTTTTAAACGCTCATCACGTCTAGGTTGAGGTAATAAACTGAACGGTCCCACCGGGGAGTATCTGGCCTGAAACTCCACCCTGGGTCCCATTTTGCCTTGGCCCACAAAGAATCAGAGACTGAGGCTGAGGGCCCCCTCACCCCTGACGGAGGAGATGATGTTCCCAGCTTGACACCTCCAAATGCAGCAGAGCTGGACCCTCAGCACCTTGGAGCAGCACCCACGTGGCACGTGGGCTAGGGGCTAATCCCCTTGGTGTGGACTGACGGCTGTCTCAGCGCTGGCTGGCTCCTTCAGTCACTTACTGAACTCCTCTCAGCCTCCAACTGTTTGGTCTTAGAGCTGGAGTAATGATACCGGTCTTGCGAGGTTGTGAGAAAGATGAGAATTTCAATAGATATGAAGAAGCCAGAACGGCGCACAACCCTTCATGGGGACTCATGGCAGTGGCTACACACCCAGGTAAACAGCACAGCCATCATCAGCCTTCCAAACACCACCATCATTGTCCCTAAGGTTCACCAACCCATGGACTCTAGAGTCAAACGGAGTCATGAATCCCTGCGGTGCACTAAGCACTTCGGGCAAATCACTTCCCTGGGCTTCCGCTTCTTAATCTGCAAAGTAAGATAATAAGACTGCCTCACGCATGGGGCACTTAGAACCAGGTCCCACACGTAGCAAGTGCTGTATTCTTTACTGGCCACCATCATTCCTTATTCAATACCAGGATCAGACCATTGCGTGCACTTGGTGCTGATTTTAACAGCCGACCTCTGAGCTGAGGGTCAGAGTGGAACTCTGTGCCCCCTGTAAAGCTTTTCATTCTCATGCCAAGTCCCTGGGACTTGCATCCACAGAAGCTGCCTTCTCCACTTTCCTGGTTCTGCCCTTGTTTTGTATTCGTTTGCTTTACATCCATCGAGAACTTTAAAGGTTTACTTGCTAGAAACAGAAACCAACCTACACTAAACAAATAAAACAATCAATGTGCCCCAGAAAAGCTCCAGTTTTAACCCCTCTGTAATTCCTTTTTGGGGAAGTTCAGTTCCCTGCAGTTAGGTTAATCTGTTCCTAGCTCCCTTCCGCTGACTCATTCAAGAAATGTTTATTGAGTGCCCCACAGGGTGTCAGACCTCAAACCAGGCTCCGGAGAGAGAACACAGAAAACCAGCCCCTGCCTTTGCGAAGCTCTCACTGGGGATCAGTGCAAAGCGAGTGGCCAGTGACAACGCAATTTGAGAATGACATATTACCCTACCTGCAAATGAGATCAATCAGCAACAACATGCACCCCATTTTTAACCTAAAGCACATCCCTGTGCTGGAACACAGCCCTCGCTGCTTACCCTAAGAGCCAAGCCTGTTCATGTGTGACTGAAGCATTGTGCTGTGCCACAGAAGCTAACACAGCATTGTAAACTGACTATATACTTCAGTAAAAACATATATATCCAAACATCCAACAATAACCGACCAAACAAAGAAACAAAAACCCCAAGAAATGTGTAGTCACACGCACACAGATTTCCAAGCAGAGAATCGGAAGACACTGCTGACACTTCAGCAGGCCACCCTCCAAAAACCAGATGCTTTATAAGGTGAAAATATAAACCAATTTCATTTTAACAACAATTGTAATAGTATCATCTGCCTTTTTTACCTTTTTTTCTACTTAAAGAACTGGCCGCTAGCTCTTCTCTTTCTGCTCCCAGGACGATCCTGTGGTGGGGGGAGTGGGAAGTCAATCCTTATCTCTAAATTTTACAGATAAAAAAGAGATAAGCTCATAAGGACTGAGATTTGCCCCAGATGTTTCCAACGGTGAGAAGTCAGAGCAAAGCCATCTGATTTCCTCGGACTCTCAGCAGAGTCGCTGAAGGACAGCAAATGAGGTCAAAGACCTCAGAAATTAGGTTGGCAATAGTTACTGGAACTGAGGATTGATTTGATAATGAGTAACCAAAAAAAAAAATTCAAGAAGCTAAACCCAAAGGGGCAGAAGAGGAAGCCAGAAACTTTCACAGAGAGTGTCCTTAAAGCAAATTGAGACAACAAAATACTCTTTGCCAGTTATCAGATTAATACACTTTTTTTTTCAAATGACTTAAAAAAAAATAACACCCCAATGCTGGTGGAAGTGTGGGAAGCCAGCGTTCATTCATACTGTTCATTTGGGCCAGGGGGTGTGTACGTGAACAGATTAATTTAGTAACAGAATCAAGAGCTTCAAATCTGCTCGCGCCTCTGGGAATTTCTTCCAAGGAAATAATCAGGAAGAGATGCATAGGTTTGCCTATAAGGATGTTAGTTTTGGTAACGTTCATAAGGAAAAAGGCAAAAATCAAATCTCTAACATGATTTAACAAGTCACCTCTGTGATGTGATTAAAAAGCTTTCGCAGAGGGGGAGGGTAGAGCTCAGGGGCAGAGCGCAGCCTGTCCTACACGAGGTCCGGGGTTCAATCTCCGGCACCATCATTAAAAAAATAATAATAAAATAAAATCAGATTTATTTTTAAAGAAGAATGTACAAAAAGCTTTTGTAGAAAGACGTTTGTGAGCGTGGCAAGTCGGCTCACACAGTATCGCTGAAAGGGAAAAGCAGGTCATAAAACAGCGCGTACGGACGCCCAAGTGCTCAGAGAATTGATACCCACCAAAGTAGGAACGGGACTCATCTCACCGTTAAAGGCTGTAGTTTAGAAATGAACTTGAGCCACTCCGGGACCCTGCCTGTGGAGTTTCTCTCCCAAGCAAGTGGACAGTGCCCAAAAGGGCTTGTGGGTGAAATGATTGAAAACTGGATGCTGGGCAGAGACAGGCCATAAGCATCTGTTCAAATTCATGGCCACTCCTAGGAAGATCCAAATGCACCTCAAGAAATGTCCCCACTGCTTCCAGACAGTCCCCTCCCTCTCCCAGCGGGTCCCCACGGGTCCCCACGCTCACAGTGAACACAAACCTCCCCTCGGCCTCCAGCCGCCTGGGGGCGGACACCGAGAGTCGCCCCGGCAGCCGGGCCCCAGCTGCCCGTTTCAGAACATCCTCCTCGCATCCAGCTCTTCACACCCTCACAACCGCCGCCGGGCAAACGCGCAGAGGGAGTTTTAAGCTGAACTGAACTGCATGGTAAACTTCATTGGGTGCTCATTTTTGCTTTCCTTTTCCCTTTCTTGACTGTCTCGGATTCTATACTGTTTTCTTATTCTCTCACACGACAACACTACTGATAAGATGTATGGAGGACTAGGGTGTCCACTAAGAAGCACAGGGCAGTTTCACATAGAAAACAAACTTACGGTTACCAGACAGGAGAGGGGTGGGAAGGGATAAATTGGGAGTTCGAGATTTGCAGAGACTGACCACTATGTATAAAATAAACAGCAATGTCCTACTGTACAACACAGGGAACTATATTCAATACCTGTAGTAACCTATAATGAAAAAGAATATGAAAAGAAACATATGTATGTATATGTATGACTGAAGCATGATGCTGCACACCGGAAGTTGACACCACATTGTAAACTGACTATACTTCAATTTAAAAAAAGGAGAAAAATAAAAGAAAGAAAGAAACACAGGGGCGATGTTGAATTATCCCCTTGAAAGCCTCCAGTCTCCTTACAGCTACAGGTGTAACACTTGCAAAGCCTCTGAAGAAACATGCTCAAGCTTTTAAGATTACATCCTGAGCTCTTACGGCAGGACGCATGTACAAGTCTTGCTAATACAATATATTATTGTTTTAAATGCAATCGTTGGGGTCTGTTTATAGTCATGGATTGCCTTCAGCCAAGCATGGGACCAGATTATGCACGTCCAAAACTGCAGATGCATAAAGGGGAGTCATAAACCTTAGTCCTGACATCTGCTACAGCTGATGGACTTTACATAGAATATCCTTCACTTTAACCCCACACTTAGCAAAAATCATGTAACCATCAATGGCTTCTAGGCAGTATCTATTTATAAAATATATCTACCACGTGTCCCATAGTTAATTTTCCATAGACTGAAACACACATAGTCACATGATTGTGTGTGTGTGTGTGTGTTAGCTGTGACTTTCTTAAAGTAGGGGAGCAGCATGGCCAGATTTGCTTTTTTTAATTCTGCTCTTTATCAATTTATTTTTTAAATGTGTTTATTTACTTGGTGGGGGGAGGAATCAGGTTACTTACTTATGTATTTTAATGGAGGGACTGGGGATTGAACCCAGGACCCTGTGCATGCTAAGCACGTGCTCTACCCCGAGCCATACACCCCCGAACAGTGATCTTTTAACAGGACTTGCAGAATATATCTTAGGGTTAAATATGCCTACAGAGCCACAAAACTACAAGAAATCCTTCAAATCTCGTTTCACCAAACAGCAGAGCATCATCCGTCCTGTCAGAGTCCGCGGGTCCCTTCTAAATACTTCATCAGTGTATAATTAATCAAAGGAGAAAGGAGTCAAAAAAGACAGAAACAAAAACCCAAAGTGCAAATAAATCATCTTACCGTCTCCTCTCCTCATGGCTGGAGCTTTGGGGAGGGCAGGTCCCCGGGAGCTGGTAACTCAGGGTCAGCCCGCTGGGTTTTTTCCCCAAGTGAAGCCAGTCACTGAGTGGATGGTGGTTCTTAAAAACAAAAGTGCATTTCAACGTCTGCCCTGGATTGAGATGCTAATGGCTTTTTTCTTTTTCTGAAGAGCTCGGGGTCTGGCCCGTGCAGCACAGCACGAGAGAGTGACGTATCACATCTTGTCAGATGCCCCAGCGGCACCGAGGCTGAGAGGAGAAAGTGGGCTCCTGGTGACGCCCGTGAGGGCTTTAATCCTCAGCAGTGACACATGCGGGGACTATGAACGGGAAACTCAGAGCCGGGCAGGCAGCCAGCCGCAATGAGAAAACGTGCCAAGCCCTTTCGCAATCCCACACTCTTCACTGAACATTCACTTCTAACATTTCACAGGCTGGGTCTCTCTCCTCCAATGACTGTGCTCGAAACCTGGGCAAGGCTGGCCCACGTGCGTCCAGCCTGTCACAGTTCCCGGCAGCAAGGTCTGGCCAGTCAAGGCCAGGCCTGGGGGCTCCTACCCGCTCCCTCTTCTGCCCACCCCACCCCCGTCCCCCCAAGCCTCTGGAAATGACATCCACAGACAGGAGCTCCCAGCGATGCTGCAGGACCCTTAATTCAGGGCATTTCATGTTTCAGCTGCAGGACCTCTTCCCGATGGGCCTACCGTCCCTGCCACATGCCTGGTGACCCTGCGAGGCTCTGTTCTCAGCATCCTGGAGGTGAGGAGGCCCACTGGTCCCCTCTGGGCTCAAAGATGCAGCAGGGCAGCGGGCATTCAGGGGGAGGGGGCCATACCCAGAGCCTCCTGCTTGTGGCAGCCTGATCCATCCACCAAAGATGGTGCCACCGAACCCTTCTTATTTCCCTCCCGGCCCCTCCCATGCCCCACATTCAGATTCATGTTCTCAACACAACACAGGTTTAGCCCAGCACAGGACTCCTCAAAAACCTGCAGCACGAGGACAGAAATGGCCAAACCTACTGTGGCATCGAAGGCCCTCCCACAGCTGCCTCCGAGTACCTTTCCACCTGGTCCCCTCTGCCCTTTAGAAGAACCCTCTGTGCCAACCCAGATGGGCCACCGCCCAGAAGACCATATCCAACCTGTGCTTGCACGTGCTCTGCAGACAGCCTCCTGCCACAAGCTCCCCTTATCCTCTTAAATGTGATGCCGTCACACGCACAACACTCCCCTCCTCTCTGTCCCCTCCCACACTTCTGGTCTTCACCACGTCCGCCTGAGCATACCCTCTCCTGCATCCTGGGGTGATGCTCCCTGCTCTGAACCCTCATCTTCTCTCGGTAATAATAGAGTGGGCACTTCTGGTGTGTCAGGCTCTCTCCTAGGAAACTTAAATTATTTAAACCCATTTTACAGATGAGGCAATTGAGGCAGGAAAAAGGCAAGTACTTTCCCCCAGATCCCTTAGCCAAGCAGGGTGGAGCCGGGTGGACCCCATGTGGCATTGCTCTGGAGTCTTTCCAGGGACCCATGCTGTTTATTTGGGAACAGGAATTATGCACGCAGGGAGCGAGCAAATTCCTCGCACACCTCGTTATCCTTTCCAGAGAGCGTCCCAGAATGCCTTCCCATTTCAGACAATTACCAAATCGCCGTGATTAACTGACAGATTAATGAGCTTTAATTGAAAGACCAAATGCTCCACTGGAGCCATGGACAGGCATTTCAACATTAGGAATAAGCAGAATGATTTTGAGGTTAAGGCGACACCATTCCCATAGAGGCTTCACTGACATTTTTAATCTACCTATAACAGGAGCGTTCAGGCCGAGACCATCTGGTGGGTCGACAGATTGCTAACAACACAACCTCACTGAAGCAGCTGGGGGAACTTTCCATCCCTCCTCCAATGTGGAGCAGCCATGAGGCTCGGGGGGACCAACTCCACCCCCAGATCCAGGGGCAGCCTCACTGGTCTGAGCCAACCAGGGTCACCCTACTCCTCCTTCCAAAGGGATTGAGGACGTGGGCCCCCAGGGCACCCCCAGGCAGCACACAGCATCCTCTGGACTCGCAGAGAGCTCAGAGGTGGTCCAGTCAGAGAAAGGCTCAGGGCTTCTGCCTGCACTGGCCTCAGGATGGCTGCCACAGGCACTCCTTTTAAGACAAGGAGGCAAACAAGCTTGAGGATGAACCCCACACACAAGGGAGGGGTTTCCAGAGAAAGTGCTAGAAACTGATCCAACCCATATCATCTCTGGACGGTTCAGGGACGAGAGCCAAAGTATCCTTTTTGGTGTTTTTAAGCCACGTCAGTCAAGCTGGGTTTTCTGTTACCTGGGACCAAAAGTGTCCTGAAAAACACAGGCTCCTGCAGCAGAGATCGGAGCGAGGGGGGGCAGGGGGCACGGGTAGCCAGAGGGAGGCACATCTCGGGGTGGGGGGAGTCTGACCTCCTTTTCCTCTGCCCAGGCTGCTCCTCCTGCCCCTCACCCCACCCCACCCCGACCTCCTTCCCCTCCTCCCTTCTCTCACCTCAGTCTCCATCCCTGTTTCTCTCCCTCCTCCTGCTCTTCCTCTTGTCATTCACCCTCATTTGATCTTTCCTGGAAAACCAGCAGAGAGCTCTGAATGGAGAAGAGGCGGGAAAGGAGACCGGAGAGGCCGCCGTGGGGGGCTGCAGCTCTCAGACCAAAGCCCTCCCCCGAGCCTTCCTCCTGCCCTTAGACACACACCAGCGCCTCCGGGCTGCCCGCCAGGTGCTAGTCACGTTGCACGGTGAATGACATGTCGCTGAAGAGATGCTTCTGGCCTCCCACGGGGTGCAAGACCCTCTCTGTGCTCTTTGGAAAAACCAAAAACGAATCAGGAAGACCCAGCTTTTGGCCCCAAGAAGGTTACTGCCCAGTAGATGGGGAAGCTGTACACAAGACCCTAATGGGCTCAACTCACCGTCGGTGTTTGCCTCCCAAAACTGGAGTTTGTGACCCCATTGTTTTCTAATCAGTTTAGCTTAATTATTATCATTACTGAGCATCTAGGGGAGAGGAAAGGTTTCATTTCCAGGATTTTTCTCTCTTTTCCACTCCAGACGACTTCTTCCTTCCTCCTGCCTGCTTGCAGCAAGGAGAAACACACACACACACACACACACACTCTCCCTCTCTCTCTC